GGTTACTGATTGCACAAGGTTTGAATTGGTAATTATGAGGTATTTGATTAGATTAGTTTGCTACTTGCTATTGATTGCTGTTTAAATTAGCTATTGTTTGCAAATAAGCAGAGGCCTACCCAGGTGTTAAACATTCCTAGTGGGTGGTGATTTTAGGAGTTATATAAGGGTTGTCGTCATTAGCTTGGCTAATATAGCTTGGTTGCTTCATCTAAGTGTTGCTTCTAAGTGTGTAGTTGGAGATATTCTGGAGAGTGTTGCTTCTAAGTGTGTAGTTGGAGATATTCTGGAGAGTGTTGCTTCTAAGTGTGTAGTTGGAGATATTCTGGAGAGTGTTGCTTCTAAGTGTGTAGTTGGAGATATTCTGGAGAGTGTTGCTTCTAAGTGTGTAGTTGGAGATATTCTGGAGAGTGTTGCTTCTAAGTGTGTAGTTGGAGATATTCTGGAGATAAACTGGAGGTAATCTGAGGTATTCAGGAGGATAAATAAAAGTTAAGATTTGTTTGATTTAAATTATTCTCCTCACTGGAATGGTAGACTTAGTTCAGTGTAATAGTTGCTATGCATTTGTTTCACGTTCCACTTTTTGGAGGTTTGGTTGTTGTCTAATCTGTAGACAGTTCTCTATCTTGCGGCAGGAGATTGTATTTTTGAAGTCTGAGATTTGTAAATTATCTGGTGAACAAACTGGAACTACTGCAAAGCCACTGCCGCAGAGACATACTAGGAATGGCAGATGGATTACTGTAGGATCTGGTAGACTTAGAGTTGTGGATAAAAGGCATATTGCACAGTCTGTTGCTCTACATAATTAATTTTCTGCACTTTCAGAGTGTAATGGTGTTGTGGAGAGAGGCACTGAGGCTAGTGGTGTTGTGGAGAGAGGCACCGAGGCTAGTGGTTTTGTGGAGAGAGGCACTGAGGCTAGTGGTGTTGTGGAGAGAGGCACTGAGGCTAGTGGTGTTATGGAGAGAGGCACTGAGGCTAGAGGTTTTGTGGAGAGAGGCACTGAGGCTAGTGGTGTTGTGGAGAGAGGCACTGAGGCTAGTAGTGTTGTGGAGACCGGCTTGGAGACTATGGTGAGGCCTAATAGAAAGCAGTTGTTGTTGGGGGATTCCATCATAAGAGGTGTGGAGAGGGACAATGGTGGTCTTGTGAGGTGTCTTCCTGGAGCTACTGCTCACAGAGACAGGAGACGTATCTGTAATATTGTTAAGCAAGCAAAGCAGGAAGGGGAATTGGATGTACTTGTCCATCTAGGGACAAATGACTTGGCTTGAAATGAGGTTTCAGAGGTTAAGGACGTTTTTAGTGTTTTTGCCAATGATATACGGCAGGTTGCTTCCACACTGTCATTCTCTGAAGTTATGCCTGTGCATAGCACTCAGAACAACAGGCGGATGTGTATTAGGGACTTTAATTTGTGTCTTCGTGAATGGTGTCGGGAGCAAAGATTTGGCTTTATTTCTCATGGTAGCTCTGTTTGGAATGGAAATAACCTGTACAAAAAGATTGTTTGCATCTTTCTCAAAGGGAACAAATGTTCTCAGTGAGCAGTTCAGAGTTTTGGTAGAATGTATTTAAACTAGGAGGGGGGGGGCAAAAGGGTGAAAAAACATCAATCCAATTGTCCCCCAAAACAAGGACAGAAGGTGCCTGTAGCAAGTGTGTTAAAAAATGATAAGCTTAGAGTCATGTCTACAAATGCTCGCCAGTTTAGGGAATAAGATCCATGAACTTGTGGCAATAATGGCAACTGATAGTGTAGATTTAGTCGCTGTTACTGAGACATGGTATAATGAGAACAATGACTGGGACATAGCAATACCAGGGTACTCTTTATATAGAAAAGATAGGGAAGGCAAGAAAGGGGGAGGGGTGGCCCTGTATGTGAAGGATAGCATAAAATCTAGCCTAATAAAAGTTAGTGAGGCGAACATAGAGTCCGTTTGGGTTACGTTAGAATTTGGTAATCACACAGTAACTCATGTAGGTGTGATTTATAGGCCCCCAGGACAAATTGAAGAGTTAGATAATCTACTAGTTGAGGAAATAGCTAAAATGACAATGAAGGGGGAAGTTATCATCATGGGTGACTTTAATCTTCCTGATGTAAATTGGAAAACAAAATTAGCTACTTGTGCCAGGAGCACACATATTCTAAACTCCCTACTGGGATTGTCTCTAAAACAAGTTGTTGAGGAGCCAACTCGTAAAGAGGCCATACTAGATTTAGTGTTAACAAATGGAGATTTGGTATCAGATATTACTGTAGGTGAAAGTTTAGGATCCCGTGATCATCAGTCAGTGTGGTTTAATATAAGAACAGTGACTGAGTCACACCATACAAAAACAAAAGTTTTAGACTTTAGAAAAACAGACTTTTCTAAAATTAGAATATATGTAGAGGAGTCATTATCAGACTGGAACAATTTAAATGGAGTCCAAGAGAAACTGGATTATTTAAAAGTTGCACTATTGAAGACAACAGAAAATTGCATTAGGCTTGTCAGTAAAAGCAAAAAATTAAAGAAACCACTGTGGTACTTCACAGATGTGGCAAAAATAGTTAAAAACAAAAAGTTAGCATTTATTAATTATAAAAAAAAACCAGAGTGAGGAAGACAAAATTATCTATAAGATTAAGCAGAAAGAGGCTAAGCAAGTTTTAAGAGCTTCCAAATCACACACAGAAGAGAAAATAGCACAGTCAGTAAAAAAAGGGGACAAAACTTTTTTTAGATACATAAATGAGAAAAGAAAAGTAAAACAAGGATTAGTTAGATTAAAAACAAAAGAAGGAAGATATGTAGAAGAGGATAAAGGTCTAGCTGACTGCCTCAATGAATATTTTTGTTCTGTATTTACAGATGAAAATGAAGGAAAGGGACCTCAGTTATGAAAAAGGATAAATGAGTCATTTATTACACGTGAGTTTACAGAGGAAGAGGTGCTATTTCAACTGTCAAAAGTAAAGACAAATAAGTCAATGGGACCTGATGGAATACACCCAAAGCTATTAAAAGAGCTTAGTGGTGTACTAGCAAAACCATTAACAGATTTATTTAACCAATCATTGTTAACAGGAGTAGTCCCAGAAGATTGGAAGTTAGCGAATGTTGTGCCTATTTACAAGAAAGGTAATAGTGAGGAGTCGGGCAACTATAGGCCAGTAAGCCTTACTTCAGTAGTGGGGAAAGTGATGGAAACCATGTTAAAGGATAGGATTGTTGAACATCTAAAAACACATGGATTTCAAGATCAGAGACAACATGGGTTTACTTCAGGGAGATCATGCCAAACTAATCTTATTGATTTTTTTGATTGGGTAACTAAAATTATAGATCAGAGTGGTGCAGTAGACATTGCTTACCTAGATTTCAGTAAGGCTTTTGGCACTGTTGCACATAGAAGGCTTATCAATAAACTGCAATCTTTAAGTTTGGATTCCAATATTGTTGAATGGGTAAGGCAGTGGCTGAGTGACAGGCAACAGAGGGTTGTATTAATGGAATATATTCGAAGCTTGGACTTGTCACCAGTGGGGTACCTCAGGGATCTGTACTTGGACCCATTCTCTTTAATATTTTTATTAGTGATATTGCAGAAGGTCTTGATGGTAAGGTATGTCTTTTTGCTGATGATACTAAGATATGTAACAGGGTTGATGTTCCAGGAGGGATAAGCCAAATGGCAAATGATTTAGGTAAACTAGAAAAATGGTCAGAATTGTGGCAACTGACATTTAATGTGGATAAATGCAAGATAATGCATCTTGGACGTAAAAACCCAAGGGCAGAGTACAGAATATTTGATAGAGTCCTAACCTCAACATATGAGGAAAGGGATTTAGGGGTGATTATTTCTGATGACTTAAAGGTAGGTAGACAATGTAATAGAGCAGCAGGAAATGCTAGCAGAATGCTTGGTTGTATAGGGAGAGGTATTTAGCAGTAGAAGGAGGGAAGTGCTCATGCCATTGTACAGAACACTGGTGAGACCTCACTTGGAATATTGTACGCAGTACTGGATACTGTATCTTCAGAAGGATATTGATACCTTAGAGAGGGTTCAGAGAAGGGCTACTAAACTGGTTCATGGATTGCAGGATAAAACTTACCAGGAAAGGTTAAAGTATCTTAACCTGTATAGCTTGGAGGAAAGACGAGACAGGGGGGATATGATAGAAACATTTAAATACATAAAGGGAATCAACACAGTAAAGGAGGAGACTATATTTAAAAGAAGAAAAACTACCACAACAAGAGGACATAGTCTTAAATTAGAGGGACAAAGGTTTAAAAATAATATCAGGAAGTATTACTTTACTGAGAGGGTAGTGGATGCATGTAAAAGCCTTCCAGCTGAAGTGGTAGAGGTTAACACAGTAAAGGAGTTTAAGCATGCGTGGGATAGGCATAAGGCTATCTATAAGATAAGGGACTAATGAAAGTATTTAGAAAATTGGTCAGACTAGATGGGCCGAATGGTTATTATCTGCCGTCACATTCTAGGTTTCTATAAGTTTTTTTTTAAAAAACTTGTGTTTTATTAGTTTTCACAACTGATAAGTATAGGGAAGGAGGGGTGTGGTACAGAAAAAAGAGATGAGGGGGAGAGGGGGGTCAGTCACATTACAATAAATTGTATGGTATCCAGAATATACAATAAGAATTGTTCACTTGTATTTACATTGATTGATTCAGCAGTACACATTAAGCCAATTTCTCTTTATGCATCTCGTTCCATCTAACCCGTCTGTCTAAGCATAATTCCCAATACCTAGCTTGTCTTAAAATTCTCCATGTGTTTGATGTCTTAGTATCTGGCCCTAAGCCACAGGCCGTGGCTTGTGTGGAGTCCCGCTAGGGTGTCTGAGGACTTGAGTGTTGTATGTTGGCTGATCTCCATACCTTCCACTGATCCCACATATCGCTAAGGTAGCATGGTCTAGTGTGCGCCCTAGAGAAACTCATTTCATACATGGATTAAGTGTCTACTTCCTGAATGAGATTGGGAATGCTAGGGGTCTCATTCATCTTCCAGCGTTGCGCTATCAGTTTTTGCGCAGTTAGCAGGACATGGTACATCAGTTTCTTTGATTTTGTGGGTATTCCCTTGGGAATGTCTAGTAGTAGAAAGATCTTGGGATCAAAGGGTATCTGAATGCCAGTGGCCTCAACAATAATCTTTTGGGTGTCCTCCCAATACCTGATTAGGCGTGGACACCTCCACCAAATGTGAAGAACTGACCCTTTATCTTGTTTGCATCTCCAACACGTCACGGACGTGTGGGGATATATTTTATATAAACGTAGTGGGACCATGTACCATCGATATATTGTTTTTTGGTGTTCTATCAGTGGAGCAGATTTAATCAGCTTCCTAACAGAGGAGATGATAATGGACCACCGACTCCCAGTGATGGAGGTCTGCAGATCCAGTTCCCACTGGCTCGCTGGCGTGGGGCCAGACATATGCTGGCACGGCAGGATAAGCCTATGGCATCAAGAAAGTGGTTTAAAGGTTAGGGGTATTTTGCCTGTGAGACTTGTTTGTTCCCATATTGAAAGCCCTCCAGTATGTGTAGTCTCTGTTGTGCAATCTTTATGTCCTGCACGCAGAAAGGATTTAAGTTGAATGTATGAATATTGTGATGTGTGTGGCAAGTTGTGAATTGCACGAAGGCGCTCAAAACTCAGTAGTTTGCCCGACTCAAAAACCTGAGCTAAGTGTGAAATTCCCCTCTCCTTCAACGGTGAGGCGTGAAATGTTGGGATGTAGTATGTCATGGCCTCTATGGGTGTTGCCATTGAGAGGGGTTTAGTTGTCTCGAATTTCTGTCTGTGTAGGTCCCAATGTTGCAGCGCCAGTTGTACTTGTGCAGGCATTAAGGTGGGTTTTGGTCTGCTCCGTTTGTGCAGCCATATCAGGTTAGCGATAAGAAAGGGTTTGATAGCTAGGTTTTCTAAAATTACCCATTGTGGTCTGTTATCTCTCTCTAGGTGTGTCAATAGGGGAGCTATTACTGCAGCCTGGTAATAGGACTTTACGTTTGGGAATGCCATGCCCCCCTGACTCACTGGTGCAGTCAATAGACTGCAAGAGATTCTCGCTCGTCTAGCTCCCCAGGTAAAATGAAACAGCTTAGATTGTACGGTTTTAAAAAAAGATTGTAGCGCCTTCAGCGGGAGGTTTCTAAAAATATATTGAAGTTTCGGTAATATAGACATTTTAATAGCCACAATGCGTTCCGTCCACGTAAGGAACAGTTGTCCCCAACCCCGCAATAAGGACAAGCACTTGTTCCACACTCTGGTATAATTAGTTGGGAACATATCGGAGGCTTTCTTAGTAAACGTCAGGCCTAGGTATTTGATATCGCTTGTCCTCCATTCGAATTGGTAATCTTTGCGTAATTGTGCGAGGACCTGTGAGTCCAAGCGTAGCCCTAATGCCTGCGTTTTAGAAGTGTCCTTAATGAGTTGCATTATATACAGTAGAGAGTGTTTGGGTTGGGAGACATATAGTAGGATATCATCTGCAAATGCGCTAATCTTAATTTGCCTGTCATGCCAGTTGACGCCTTTGATGCCAGGGTGATATCTAATGGCTGTCAGCAAGGGCTCCAGGGCCAGCACATATAACAGAGGAGATAGAGAACATCCCTGCCGGTGCCATTTGTTATTCTAAAAGGGTCTGATTTAAATCCCGCCTGCAGTACTTGGGCACTGGGGTGAGAATATAAAGCGAATACTTGTTGGATGTGTTTCTATAAGTTTTTTAAGGAGAATGCCTCTGCAGTTATTCCCATTTCTTTTTTTTTATTATTTATAGTTTTTATTATTTTCATACAGAAATAAACAAACATTCTTCTTACAAACTTACATAAAACGTAATGTTTAAAATTCAATCAAGATCATACAAAGGATCATTGCACAGTATATACATACAAATACATCAACTTTCATGCCAAATGGAGAGCAAGGGGAGATCTATAAGTCACATAATTCCAGAGTCACATTAGAGTCGTATACAAATGTTCCATCCTTTAGTCTTTAGATGTGACCTGGACATTCTATCACTCAGAGAAAACCATAATCACCATATTCACTTTATAAGTTTTCTAACCAAAAGGTGCTATAGTCTTTAGTTTTCAGATCTTTACCATATAGCTTGTCTAGTTGGGATTCCATTCCTAATTGGAACTTAACCTGAAATAGGAGTTTATCTAAAGAAAAGGGTAGTGAATTTTTCCAATTCCTAGCTATTATTATCTTTACTGCTATCATAAAATGAATATAGATAGTCAAATCCTTCTGCGATAAGGAATCAATATTTAGATGTAAAATAGCATTTTCTGGAAATTTAGGAATAGGCTTATAAATCAATTTTTCAAGAGTAACAAAACTTTCCTGCCAAAATTTTCTGACTATCTCACATTCCCACCAAATGTGAAAGAGCCCAGCTGTTGTTTACATCTCCAACATAGTGGTGAAGTTGAGCTATACATATTGGCTAGTCTGGTAGGGACAAGATACGATCTATTTATAACTTTATATAATGTTTCTAGTAAATTCAAACAATGGATATTTTTAGCTGTTCTGGATATAACTGCACACCAATTTTCCTTATTAATTTTTATTTTTAATTCTTTCTCCTATTTTTGCAAAGAAGTAATGACAGGAGGTGCATCCATTTTTAGAATAGCATTCATTGCTGAAGCAGATACTCTGTTTACTGTCTTGTTATTTAATATTAAACATATCAGCTTAGCCCCGACTTGTAGATTATGTTCAATCTTTTGGTTTAAGAAGTTTTTTAATCTCAAATAAGTAAATAATTCCTTATTAGGTAACCGTAATTCTTGCTTCAGTTGTGGGAATGGTTTAATTTTTTCATTTACAAACAACTGGTCAGTCTGGACGATACCACTAGAAATCCAACTCTTTAAATTAAAGTCTGTTACGTAATATGGTATTAATTGAATTTTAAGAGTTAAAGGGATTTTGGTTTCTATATTGCACTTCCTTTTTATAATCTGCCAAATTTCTAGTATTGAATCTATACATATATTAGATTTTCTTATAAGTCGAACTTTAGGGTCAGCAGAACTATACCAGAGTAAGGAACTTAGGTCTTGGACTTGGCATATCTCCCTTTCTAAGATATACCACCCCTCGTTCTTAACACTTTCCAACTGGGTTCGGTAAATATGGAAGAACTCATTTGCCAGATATATATCGTTAATGGTTGGAAAACCCAAGCCTCCTTCATAAATTTTCTGTGCCAGAAGTATTTTATTTATTCTAGGTCTCTTGTTTTTCCAAATAAAATTAGTGACCGAATTTTGAATCATGTCAAGCCATGGTCTAGGTATTCTTATAGGAAGCATTCGGAACATATATGCCCACTTAGGGAAGAGATATGCCTTTATTAAATTCATTCTACCCCACCAAGAGATTTCTATTTTTTTCCATCTGTTCAAAGCTTTAGACATGTCCCTAAAGTTGCTCAGAAAGTTAGTCTGCATTAATTCTGAGGGATTACTTGTCAAAAATATCCCGAGATATGGGATACTATTTTTGGCCCATTTAAAGTTATAGAAATCTTGTAGGTGGGTCCTTGTAGCTGTATTTAAGTTAATATCTAATATGGTTGTTTTATCTTCATTTAATTTATAGTTTGAAATTTCGCTATATTCCTTTACTACCTCCATAAAAGCCTTGATAGATTTAATAGGATCGGTAAGGGTCAAAATTAGATCATCAGCGTACAGTTTCAATTTCAACTCTCTATGTTTGATAGTAATCCCTCTTATTTGTTGGTTAGATCTTATTTTATTAGCCAAGATTTCCATAGTAATTATGTAGAGAATAGGGGACAACGGGCAGCCCTATCTTGTTCCATTATACAAATTGAACCAGTCAGCGCAGATGTTAGAGCCCACTGTCCTCGCTGAAGGCCCGGTATATAGAGACATTATTGCCCGATGGATCCAACCATGAAATCCAAATTTTTTCAGGGTTTTGCTCATAAAAACCCAATCCACTCTATCAAACGCTTTCTCAGCATCCACCGTTACTATAGAAAGGTTTTTTTTTGTTCTGTTAGCCATGTCTATAATGTCAATGATACATCTGGTGTTATCAGAGGAGATTCTACCTGGTACAAAACCTATTTGATCAGGGTCTATTATATCAGGTAGTATGGTTTTCATCCTATGTGCTATTATAGCAGCAAAAATTTTAACATCAGTATTTATAAGAGAAATAGGTCTATAACTTTCCACCTGAGTTGGATCTTTATTCTGCTTCAGTATTGGTGTTATATTTGCTCTTAACATTTCTTTGGGGAATTGACCTATTTCTACTATACTGTTAAATAAATCTGCTAGTTGTTTTTTGAGGAGATCGCCAAAAGCTTTATAAAATATATTTGAAAACCCATCAGGACCCGGGGTTTTATTATTTTTCAATTTTTTAATAGCTTCCTCCACCTCTTGGATCGTTATCTGAGAATTAAGAAATGTTCTTTGAGAGTCCGATATTATTGGAAGGTCAATAGCCTCTAGATATTTATCTATATCTTTTTCTTTTGTTACGAGGGAATATAAGCCGCTATAATATGTATTAAAACATTGGCCTATAGATGTGGGAGAAATATGGATCTTACTGTTCATATTTATTTTTGATATTCTACTTGAGACCCTTTTGTCTCTAAGCTTCTTAGTTAGGAGTTTGTCTGCTCTATTCCCTATACTATATTCTTTTAACTTAAGCTTTGCCAGAATTTTTACGTTCTTTCCTATGTTGATTTGAATAATTTGGTCTTTAATCATCTTAATCGCTTCTGAATTAACTTGGGAAGAATTCATCTTATTCTTTTTCACTTTTTCAGCTAGATTATTGTAAAGAGGGAATAAGTCCAGACTTTTATTCCTATTTAAGTGTGCTTCTAAGTTTATTAAGTTGCCTCTCATGGTAGCTTTAAAAGAACACCAGTTGTTAGAATGTGAGGTTTCATTGGGCATGTTAATTTCAAAATAGTGTTCCATCTGGGACCTAAGAGAGTCTAGATTTGATTTATTATGGAGTAGATAATCTTTTAATCTCCATTTAGCTTTGTTTGTAATATTCCACTGATCTCTCATAGTCCAGATATTAATGCTATGGTCCGACCAGGTATTATCCCTAATTTCGATCTTCTTTACATTTTCTAAAGCTATTGCGTTACCCCACACCATATCAATACGCGAGTATGAGTAGTGTACTCTAGAAAAGAAAGTATAATCGTGTCTCTCTGGGTAGGAAGATCTCCATACATCAAAAAAATAAAATTCATTCAATAGCTTGTTTAGGGATTTGGCCATTTTTATTACAGAACCATTAGCTTTTAAATTATTACTAAGCTTCTTATCCAAGATTGGATCCAAAACGCAGTTAAAATCTCCTGCTATAATACACACTCCAGTTTT